TCTTTATTGATTTCANCATATTTAGAGAGAGAGAGAGAGAGAGAGATAGGCATAAAGAATAAAAATAGGAATAAATAAGTACCTATCAGTAAAAACCTTAAATGTAAATGGATTAAATGCTCCAATCAAAGGACATGGGGTAGACGAATAGATAAGAAAACATGACCCATATNAAATAAGTACCTATCAGTAAAAACCTTAAATGTAAATGGATTAAATGCTCCAATCAAAGGACATGGGGTAGACGAATAGATAAGAAAACATGACCCATATATATGCTGTCCACAAGAGACCCACCTCAGAGCAAAAGACTCACCCAGGATGAGAGTGAAGGGATGGAGAAAATTTTTCCATGCAAATGGAAATGAAAAAAAAAAGCTGGGGTAGCAATACTCATATCTGACAAAATAGACTCCAAACTGAAGGCCATAACAATAGAGAAAGTCACTATATAATACTAAAGGGATTAATCCAATAAGAAGACATAACCCTGGTAAACACATATGCACCCAACCTAGGAGCACCTAAATATGTAAAAAACAAAGTAATCAAAAAAATTCTTGGAGGACTACAGGAGAGATCGACAGCAACACAGTCACAGTATGGGACTTGAACACCCCACTCACTTTACTGGGTAGGTCTTCCAGACAAAAAAATCAACAAGGAAACAGTGACCCCAAATGACACACTAGATCAGATGGATTTAATTGACATTTATAGAACTTTGCACGCCAGAGCCGCAGAATATACATTCTTTTCAAGTGTGCATGGGACATTCTCAAAGATAGACCACAAGTTAGGACATAAAATAAGTCTCTACAAGTTCAAGAAGACTGAAATCATACCAAGCATTTTCTAGGATCACAATGGCATGAAACTAGAGATAAACTACAATAAAAACACTCAAAAAAATTCAAACACATGGAGGCTAGATAGCATGTTATTAAACGATGAATGGGTTACCAGTGAGATCAAGGAAGAAATTAAAAACTTCCTGGGAAATATGGAAATGAACACACAACAACCTGGGGTGGGGCAGGGCTGGGTGGAGCGGGACAGAGCTGGGGGAAATGGGAGACATCTGCACTACATCAGCGATAAAATGTAAATTAAAAAATGAATGATGGGTTCTGAAGGATGGGCCTATGTTCATGGAACCATCGGCTTCATCTTAACAGCTTACATCTTGCACCTCCAAGGGTGTGGCTGGGATGATTAGCTATCTAGTGTTCAGAGGAAAGTTTCACATCGGGATTTGTGTCTGCACAAACTACTCTATGCTTTATAGTTGGAAAACCTGGACAAAACCTTAACCAGTGTCAGAAAGGGAAGACTCTTGGTGAGTTAAAGCTGATTGAACAGGGCAGTGTTAAATACATGTCCGCAATCAAAAATAAGGTATTAAACGATCATTTTGAGTTATTAATTGCTCAGGACTGAGGAACCAATTTCACAAAACACAGAGAATTCCACCTCATCCTCTCAAACAAGTTTTATTTGTATTCTGCTCTAACAAATATAGTATGAAGGCAACAGTTTAAGTTTCTGAGTGTATGGCAAAGATGAAAAGAAACAAACAGGTTTAGAAGCAGTCTAGCATTTCAATGCTGGCTTAACATAAGAGGCACGTATTATTCTAGTCAGCAGTTTATACCAGCTATCAGGAGACATTGTTTTCCTTGCAAGCAACAGACTACATTTATTTGCATTAAGTAAAAACATATCTTGATCAAGAAAATTACTTTTTTTTCCTTTTTTTCTGATTTTCCTTTATATCACAAATGTCAGGGTAAGGCAAATCTTTAATGAATCATATGATAAAAACCCTATTCCCCAAGAAAATATATTAAACATTCTGCTAACTTTGTTATTTTTCAAAGCAAAGCCGACATGCACCACATACGGGGAAATGTCATTTCAAATCAAGTGCATCAGGCAGAACTGTATTAATTCACAAAGGGGCTTTTCAGGGTTTCACAGAAAGATTTACAATTAGCTGCGGTGACTAATACGTGACCCAGTATCACAGGCAGTGTCCCGGATGCCTCCTTTGTGAGTTTTTATGAAAGAAGAATTGTCCATCATCTGAAGAGTTACCAGCTAGTGGACAAGCCCCTTTGTCTCTCCTATAGCCGGTACCTTTTTGATTAGAACCACTGTGCTGAAGGGCTGCTTCGATCCTCTGTATGCAAACACGACTAACATGGGGCCACCCCCACCCCCGTCCTGCAGCCCCTCCTGCCACATGGCTGGACGCTGACCCCAGGATTCGCGTGCAGGACAACCCACCAGCGCGCCCAGGTCCACTGTGCGGCCTGGGCACGGGGGCCAGCCGAACCAAGGTGGCCTGTGCCGAGACGCCTTCCATCGGGCTCATGGCTAGATTTTTAATATTTTACTATTAAAATGGAAATGAACCTCATTATTTATTTTAAAGCATAAAACCTTACAGCCCAATAGCAACAGAAGAGCACAATAAAACAAAAATGAAGTCTGAACAAATTTAGGCGTGGGGCCGATGACAGCCACTTCTCAGTCTTGGTTTCCTGGACACAAAGCTCGCTTTCCTTTCTCTCCAGTTTTCAGGCAGAGAACCCCTTCCCGCCCTCCCCACACTGAACATAAGTGAGTGAAACGGCTGTCCTGGGTGATAGGGAGAACACCGGGACGGAAATCATTCCAATCCCAGCTGTTC